AGAAAAAAAAAAAAAAAAAAAAAAAATGTAGAAACAATTTCTAGACAAAATTACATTTTGACTCGGGGAAAACAGAATCATCTCTAATCCCGTGCTGTTCTATTCTCAAGCTGTGTTCGAGCTGAATGTTTCTTTGTGTCTTGGCCGCGGCCCGCGAGGGATTTATCGCGTCTGGCATGGATATTTTGTAATTCTGCCATCGGTCGAATCGTTTCGATACACGCGCTTGTTTCTTCCCCTATCGTCTTCCTTTCCACCTTTTCGAACCCCGCCAGGCTGCTCTGGTTGTTGTTATTTTCTTGCTTGCCTTGGCTGGCTGTCGCGCGTGTTTCGACATTTTCATAATGCGGCCGCTACCACAATGGCCACTGCCCGTTCCCGGAAGCCAGACGATCCCAGACGATCGGCTCTACGGTCTGGCATGGCATCGACTTCGCGTTGCACAACCATGTCGCCACGATATCGCCGTGCGATGCATACTCGCGTGATTTATCGCGCGACATTTGGTCCTTTGAGAAATTTCTTTTTCTTTTCTCCCTTCTTTCTTTCTCCTCTTTTTCTTCTTTTAAGCAATTAGGCAATTCTTTGTTTTTTTTTTCTTTATTTCTCCTTTTCTTTCTTGGTTTTTCTTTTTTTTTCTCTTTTTTTTTTTTTTTTTTGGTTTTNTGATAGAGTGATCTCTTTAGAAAGAAAAAAAAAAAAAAAACGAAAACAAAAAGGAGTGAAAAGAGAAAAAGAGGAATGAAAAGAAAAGAGGTAAAAGAGGAAAGAGAAAGGACGGGATTAAATGGCCCATTATAGGTCCGTCGTCCGACTCAGTAGCGCTATCGAGGAGGATATAATCGATTGGAAAGAGGCAGGCAATACACACAGAGCATCAAGAATGGCAGGTACTAAAAGTGTCACGATCCATCCAACCCTTCAGCCACCGAGTGCAACGAATAACCAGCGGGAAAGTGTGAGTCTTAAGCAGATCTTGCTTGCCCCCGATGGAACGCACTCTGACCCTCTCCCGTTTATAATTTCGTTCGCGAAACGTACGACACTCGTCGACGTTTCTCGCGTTCAAACGTATTTTTCGAGATGTCAATTACCCCTCTATCGAACAAGCGTTGATCAGCAACGGAATACATAATAGTAAGTTTGAAGCTTGGTTTTCGAATCGTTCGGCAGAAAGCGAAGAAAGAAGATGAAAAAAATTAAACAATAAAAATCATTCGAAGATGAATTTGATTTCTCGTCTACAGTTGAAACAATACGCTTCGCCGACTGAAGCGATTTCACACAGTTCCGTTGCGAGAATTACACCCCCCCCCCCCCCACCGACTTTCATCGCTGACTTATCCCGAGTTTGTCCAGCGATCTTCCGATAGAAGCAAACGAAAATACGATAAAAGAGAAAGAAGAGAAAACGAAGAAGAGGAAAAAAAAAAAAAAGAAAGAATAGAAACCCGACGTTACGTCCCGAAACTTCTAATTTATCGTTGCGTCTGATATCCTTCGTCTGTGAATGAGTCGAACAGCCGGATGAGGGTGGTTGAATGAATATACGTGCGTGTACCCGAGAAGAGCACACACGAGATTGATGAGTAGATGAGAAATTGTGTTTTAGAAATGTGTCTGTAATTCCTGGCATGTATCACTTGCGCATACGTCTCAGCCAGCAAGTCGTGTTAGGTTATAAACGTATTATCGTAGTAGGGAATCGTAGGTGTATTAAGGTAAACATTAACATAAACATTAACAAAACAAATAAACATTAAACAAAACTAAACAGAACAAAAAGTATGAGAATACAGGATCACGAACAATACGAAGAGGATGAATTAATAGAACAAAAGGAAAACAGACAAAAAAAGAGAAAGAAAACGAATAAACAAACGCAAACGAAGAAAAAAAAATAGGAAAAAGATGGAGCAAGAAAGAGGTGAAACTCTTTATTCAACGATGGAACAGAAGCAAAAGACAAGCAGTAGCCAGCGAAGCAAACAGGAAAAAACAGAGCAAAATAAAATAAAATAAAGTAAATAAATAAATAAATAAAAAAAACCTACGTTGATGTGTGAGGATGTGAGCTAGATCGCCGCGTTGAGTCCAATGAAGTCCTCAGAGATAATATATAGAAGCGCAGACCCTCCGCAGATTGAGGTGAAACACAAAGGGACGCGAAACTGGGCATCGCGTTAGCCATCGTTCGTCGATCCGCGACGTGCATCAGGGGTTTATATAGTCTTTAAAGTATCACGCCAAAGACAGACAATACTTTGATAAAAATAAATGTTAGTCGTTAAAAAAACTTTCGTCGAAGCCTGGATCGATCGCGGACGCGGCAATGCGCGCCCCGGAGGAAACAAACTTTCGAGCAGAAATATTTTTTTCGAAAGATGTATCCGATAGTCGACAACAGGGGAAAAAGGAGAAGAAAAAGAAAAAAAATAAGTAAATAAATAAATCGAAAACGCGGGACGACGAACGACGACGCCGACCGTGCCTGGTCAGCTGGAACGTCTTGTAAAGAATATTGTGGGAATTGTTTTTCTGCGCTCCGGCACGAGCTCGAGATTATCGAGCCGAGTCGAGGCAACCTGCTCACGCAAGTACATTTTATGCTTGGCACCTCTGTCTCTGTTCTCTTCTTAAAGATTTCCACGCGACGGTTCTTTACCTACGCTGACACAGATCACTGATCTTCCCTTCTTTCAAGATCACTTGCAAGATCTTCACGGGACTTTATTTGACGTCGAGCGATTTGATCGTTGATCTTCAACTTGTTTTCAAGGGAGACGTTACATTAAGTTTCCACTTTGAAATCTTTGAAATTGAAAATACCGGACGTTGTCTAAATTCTGAAACGGTAGTTGATAAATTCTTGAAACTTCTTCGCAAATACGACACGAAATTCGTTCGAAAGTAAATTATAGATTTCATAAAGATGATGAATTCAGACAATTTGATATCCTTGTTAAAATTGGTAAATGAAATTGCTCGATTACGTCGCTCGACTATCAGTCGTTGCAACTACTTTCGGTTACAATAGCATCGTCGATGGTCGTGCAGACTCCGACCTCGCCACTCCGAGATATCAGAAATACATGTACTCCGCGGGAACTTGAGACAGAGGTTCCAGCTCGCCAACCTGTCTACTTTCACGCATTCACGATGTTTGATGACTATATACCACTTTCGACACGAGGACATTCCTTTCGTACATTTTACCGGCGTTTTACTAAGTTCGCTTTCGACACGAGAAGTTTCGGATTGATTCATTGCTGTCCTAGGTTGCGCACAAGACGACACACAAAGACGTGGCGCGGAGGAACGTCCCTGTCGTTTCACGCTCGACGATCGGCGCGATCAAGAGCGCTGGTAAACGGGAGCTGGACGTTTCGTCGCGACAGCGAAGCAAAAGGAAATTCCGTTTTTCGGCAAACACCAAAAAGAAAAACTCAAGCTCGAATTGCCGGCGGGTGCGCGCGTGCTACGGAGCGTACGCACGCGCGTTCCCGCGGCCAATTCGGACCACACAACAACAATAAAGTGTTCGTCAAGGCGGCGTTTACGTCGATCGCCTAGCGGCACACCCACACACACGCGTACAACGACACACCGTGCACACGGACGTTAGAGGGACACACACATACGCACGCACACACGTACAACACTCGCGGGATACACACACGACGCGTACACTCTGACACCCGACACACGTACACACGCAGTTTCGGCCAGAATCTAAAAGACACATCAAGGAAAAAAGTACAAGTTTATCACGTTGCGCCTTAATGTTAAAATTAAAAGTTGATCAAAAGAGTGGAAGATGAAAGAAAGAGAGAAAAAAAAAAAATAATGCGAAGCGTATTCTTAACCAAAATCGGCCTTAGTATATACATTTTTTCCGGGGCCAGCCGACGACGAACGACAGGCGACCCTCTCACTCGTCCTGACCCCCTTTAACAAATTCCCCCACCCCCACCCATTTCTCTAGATTATAAGATTTCTCTAGATTATATCTATAAAAATGATATATTATAAATATATGTATACATATAGTATATATCCGCCGGCGGCGGGACGTTTCGAAACCTCGCAGCTAACTCAGCAAACCACCGAAAAAAAAAAAAGAACTATCGAAAGATTTAGAAAGAATTGAGAGAAAAAAAGAAAAAAAAAGGACAAGGAGAGAGGGAGAGGGAGAGAGAAAAAAAAAGAAGGGAGAAAATGACGAAGAAGATGAAGAAGAAACAAATAGTCTTCTCAGTTCCCGCCGCGTCCGGCCGGATTCGAAATTCTTATGGTTCGCGTGCACGTTGGACGTGGCAGTGGTCGCAAACGCGGTGGACACGCCGGAAGCGAATCACCGCGAGGCGTGAGCCACCGGAGTGACCAAAGTGCGACGTGGACGTGAAACCTGTCTTTCAAAGTCCCTCCTCGAACGCCGGAAGGTCGCCAGTCGATCGTCTCGCGGCCCGAACAACCCCTGCTCCAGCAAACCCCGCAAACATTTGTCCATCCATCAACCCTCTTTGCATCCACGAACCTCCCCAAGATGAAAACTCACAGCATCCTCCTGAAAAATCCAATCCTTATCCGCTCGAGAATTGAAGAGCACGAGAAGTGAGAGTGGAAACACACGGTGAAAAAAAAAAAAAAGAGAAACATCCATTCGTCAGGCGAGAGAAAGCGAATAAGAGAGAAAGAGAGAGAGAGAGAGAGAGAAAGTAGGCGTTTCCTTTCTCGCGTCAAAAGAAGAAAAACACTTCCTGCATGATGTGAAGCTAAGCGACGACGCGAGTGGACGGGTCACCCGAAAAATTATTCTAAGGACTCTCGTCTTCGGGCGGGAACGCAGGTGGATTGACGAGGACAAAGAAAAGGATATAAGAATGATAACCCGGTGCTAAGGAGAAGCGAGAGGAGACGAACGGAAGGGAAGTAAGACGAAGTCGGAAGACGAGTAAATAGAATAATTACCAACGGGAGAGATCAACAAGATCGAACGAGATCGCAATTCGGAAAACATTTCGATTGTCGACTCGCTGTTTCCCGCGACCGGGACGAGGGAAAGTTCGCCGAAAATCCGAAAGAATCGAAAAGCCTGCGATAAACAAGAGAGAAAGAGAGAGAGAAAGGTTTCAGAAAGAAAGGAAGAAAGAATGAACGAGAGAAAGAGAGAAAGAGAGAGAGAGAGAGAGAGAGAGAACGAAAGGAAAAGGAATATAAAGAGAGATTTCAGGTTGTTAAGGAGGGATCGACCACGTTTTATCTCGTCGCGTAGATCCGCGGTATTCTTTGCCATCCGTTTTCATTTTTCATGAATCGTATCATATATGTATATCTCCGAGAGACTCGACCACGACCCGAAAGAAACAAAGAAAATAAAAAGAAAGAAAAAAAGGAGAAATAAGAAAGAGGGGCGAGGATCATTTCGTGTAGACTGGTGCCTGTTCTGGGTGAATTCGAACACGCGATGCTACGCATCGGTGGACGGCTGAGCTCGCGACACTGGGTGCAACAACTTTAGGCACGAAAGAAGGACGAATATCAAGAAGGATTTAGTTCAGTTCGATCGACCGGAACATTGAGGATCAATTATGTGTTCCTTTTTTATATAAGTTCAATATACACGACGTATAACTCTTTGGACGATAGAAATTAAGAGAAAAAGATGATGTATTGTATATATATACGCACATATATACACATGTAGAAAAAAAGAAAGTTTCCATCAAATAGCGAATATTCAGGATTACCGAAGAAGCAGAAGCAGAAAGGAGAAATTCAAAATTCCTGTATTTCGATTCACGAAAGAAAGATTGATCAAACAAACACCCAAGACGTAGCTAAGACGTAGATTAAAATTAAATATCTCAGCTTGTATCCCCGTGTCCGTTTGCAGTCACCTTACTCGGCCGATCTCATCGGTCATGTCGCATTTGCGCATTTTGGGCCAGCTCGTCTAACTCTAACGTAAACCTATTCGTTCGTGAGAATCAACGGCAAGATCAAGCCGAGAAATTCAAAGCAAAAAGAGTAAAAAAAGAAAAAAAAAAAGAAAAAAGGGAAAACGTAAGAAGCGAGAAGATAGGAGAGAGACAAGTGTCAAGGAACGATCGTTTCGGCAGACTTCTGGAAAAACGTTTAAAAATTCGTCACGGATGCAAGTACGCGCCGCTCCACCGACGCGTGCGTACCAACGATACGATATCAGTGATACAAGAAACCCGCAATAGAAACCCGCCTTCAACCCTCTGTATAACACGCGACGATCCAACTGACCCGGTCCAATCCGACAGGTATGCAAACACAGAAAAAACCGTTCGAAGGAATCAACGCTGGACACACGAGATAGTAATCTTTTTTTTTCTTTTTTTTTTTTACCGCGACAGCCGCAACGAGCATCAAGGATAAACGTTGCAATTTAACGACAAACAACGCATCCGCATGCATCATCACAGCCTACACACCGCGCGTCGCAGAAAAACAGTCAAACCACCACCGTGACAACGTTCAAACGTTCTAGGAGAATGCGATCAGCCTCGACGAGGCGTAATGCCCCGCAACATGAAAAAGAAAAAAGACAAAAAGCGAAAGAAGAGAATAAATAGCGTAGAGCGTCTCGGGATCTCCCTTCGATAACACACACACACACACAGCAGATATGTTAAAAGTTAAGAAACAAAGTAATAAGAAAAATGAAAAAAAAAAATAAATAAATAATTAAATAATATAACGATAAAGAAGTTAACGAGGATACAAAAACTCGATCTTCTTCGATTAGTCTTCAGTGTACATAGTAACGATATCACCGATAGATAATAATTCAGGCAGGCAATAATCGCAGCGACAATTATTGCTCGTTCGTCCGATTCGTCGAAAACGTTGGACGAGGAATAATCATTGTAAGGAGCGATAATAACGGCGTACCGACGGTTAATTACCGAGAACGATGGTGTCGGATGCAAATGCTCCCCGACGCCGGTCAATAAAGGCAGCTTGATATTTCGTCGATACCTTATAACTGCAAGATTATCTCAAGAAACTTGTTGATTTCCGTTCCCACAGTTTCACAAACATTTCACCCTTCCACGCGCATACACACACATACATACTCACAAAGGCGTGTAGAAATTTCTTCGCCGATCGTTTGCAGGTAACAGAACACGTCGAACAGACAGATCGACGCCGGTTTTCTTTTCCCTCGGCAACAAACATCTCTAGACACGTTCATTCTGTATTTATACCTCGTTGCAACACACTTTTCACTCGAAAAAAAAAAAACTTTGTTGCGACATCGAACGCCTACTTGTAGGCAACACAGAGAAGATAAGTAACAATTTAAGTTCATTCGCAACCTATAATTTACAGACAGACACGTCGAACCCAAACGATTCGACACCGGTTTTCATTTGCCCAACTGGAACCACCGCACTGCGATCCCGAATACAGGGGGGAACAGTGCTCGTTATAAAACGATTTCATTAACAATTCTATCGAGATTTTTTCATTTCCTATCGAACGAACGCGACAACGATTCAACATTTTTCCGCGATACCACAGAAATGCAGCAGATCGAACGAGAGAATACGTTCCGATCGTCGAATCCGGCACAGACGCACAGAGAAACGAAAATGATCATCCCAGCAATCAAACAGGATACCGAAGCTTAACGATGTTAATCTTCAAACATAGTCTCGAATAGAATTCTAGCTACGCACCGCTGAAATATACGGCATTTCTCACACGACTCTCAATTCCGACGGGACAGCATTACGAATCGAAGCGGCGAGCATCGTACTTCCGGCGATCGATCCGCGATCAGGAAGCCGTGAATACTAAAACGAGACGCCCCGTGAATCAGAGGATCATTATCAGGAACGAAGAGTGGAGCCACGTGGAAGAAGACAAAGTCGCTGGCCCGGTATGCGGGCAAACGCCGACTAGCACGACACCGAATTCTCGCTTGAACGAGAAGAAGAAGCCAAACCTACTACTAGTACTACTATTACTGGAAGCAAAGCGAATCCATCGAGCATGCACACAAACACACACGTACACGTCGACAAACACAAAGCACACGAAAACGCAGAGAAGCGAAAAAAAGAAAAAAAGAAAAAAAAGAAAAAGGAAAGAAACACACGAAGAATAGGAATCAAACCAGGAAAGAGACCAGAGCAAAAGAAAAAAAGAAAAACGAAAGAAAGGAAACAAATGGATGAGAACAAAATGCACGACAGATTTTTTTTTATACGAAATAATCAACATAACCGCCACAGAAACAGGTAGAGAAAGAAGTGTCGAAGAGAACAAGGGATCGAACGGACGCGGGAGACGAGCGTTCTCCGCGCCGCCGATTCGAGGCTATAACTTGCTGATAATAATAAGAAAAGAAAAAGAAGAAAAAAGAAACGTGAAACGAATTATACCCGAGAAATCTTGCCACTTGCAATTCGTTGAAAACGCGACGCGTTCTAAGCAATTCGCATAATCGCATAATAAAGGAAAGCAACAAAACTATGAAAAAAAAAAAAAAAAGAAAACGAAACGAAAGAAAGCTACTGCGAAAAAAAGTGGGAGCGTGTGTGTTTGAGAGAGAACGAGAGCGGGAGGGAGGGAGAAAGAGAGAGAGAGAGAGAGAGAGAGAGGCATCGCGCGCGAGAGTAAGAGAGAGAATGAAAGAGAGAGAGAGAGTGAGGGAGAGAAAGAGAAAGTGAACGAAAGAAAGAGAAAAAAATAAAATGGATAACGAACAGGAGACGGGAACGACAGTATGAACGGGAAGGAGAAAGCTTTTTTTTTTTCATAGATAGGTGGATAGAGAGCGAGGTGGGAGAGAAAGAAAGAAAGAAAGATAGAACGGAATGCGTGATTTTTTAAGGATAAACGGAACCGACCAACAAGAGAAAACCGAGTAGAACACAAAGTAACCAAAAACGAAACAAAGAAGACAAAACGAAAGAAAAGAGAGCAGCAAGCTAACGCAAGAAAGCAAACAACGGAAAAAGAAAATGTGAAAAAAAAGAAGAAACGAAGAGAAGAAAGAAACGCAAAAATTTCACGGAATCACTGAAGATTCGCTATTCGACTTTCTGATTTTTCGCAGATTTTCGCGCGGGACAACAGGTGCGTCCCCTCCGAGATCCCATCCCGCCCCCGTAACCACCGCTATACAAGATAAACAAGATAAGAGCCACCACCTTCCATCCCCTCGGTAAATCCTTCCCAAACAGGAATAAGGTTTGCTTCCAAAAAAAAAAAAATAAGATTAATAATAATAATAATAATATTAATAATAATAATAATAATAATAATAATAATATTAATATTAATATTAATAATAATAATAATAATAATAATAATCCGTACGCGTTATCGAAACCTAATAAAAAAAAAAAAAACTATAACTACCTAACAATAATTATTAAACGATAAAGGGGTTAAGAGTATTGATTAATTGAATTATACCTAACGATTAATTAAAATAATTAATGACTAATAATACTTAATAACGATAATACGATATAATGATATATAGTATAAACGGTACGAGGACAACCCGATAAAACATGGCGGCTAACAAACAATCCACCAAGACGAAGCGATCCGGCCTAGAAATCGGTCGCCTAGAATGGGGCGGTGCCGATCGAGCGTGACGTTTTTTTATTTCTCTCAAAGAAACAAAAAGAGAACAAAGGAACAAAACAAACAAGCAAACAAACAAACTAACTAGCAAACAAACAAATAATAAAACACAATGCGAAACAAAGCGAAAGAAACGAACGAACAAAACGAATGAGCAAATACGAAGTCTTTCCTTCGAACGATCGCGTGTTTCTTCGACTCGGGACAAGGCCGATGCCGCGACGCCTTCCCCGACGTCGGCGTCGCGTTCCCTCACGTCGGATTCCCTCTCGTCGAGGTGGTCGTTTCTTACCCATCATTTATACGCTAGCTTGTAACTTGAGACTTAAATATAATTGAGAAAAAGACGAGGTGAAAGAGAGAGAAAAAGAGAATACACAAAAGAGGATACACACTCGAACACGTACACACATTGAACAAGCATTAATGATACCTAATGATATAATTATATTATTGATATAACTTACGATTATGAACTATCCTAGTGGTATTATATGACGACATAGTTGATTGATCTGTTTAATATTGAATGTCTGTAGATCACGGAGCGTTTGGAACTCTATGCTACCCGTCGAAGCACCCCGGATACGATCCAGCTTTGCTCTCCCTTTCCCATACCCGATACCTTGATATTCCACCCACCCCATCCCCCACCTCCCTTTCACAGATCCAACGCCACGCATACCGATCACCACCAATCTAATCCAAGTGAGAAAGAAGGGAAAAAAGAAAAGATGAAAAACCGCGTATCACTTGAAACAATCGTCGATCAAATCGTGTCAATCGCGTTTACATTCTCGAATCACGTACGATTGGTCTATGCTATAAACCGTGAATTAAAAAAACAAAAAGAAAAAAAAAAGGAAAAGGAGAAAAAAGAAAACCGCAAAATTTTCCCAAAATAAAACGCGAGAACGATGCAAAATTAATCGAAATTCGATTGTCAAAGGACGAAGGGAATCCCTTTCGTCTAAATATGGACAACGGGATAGCCATTTCGAGCTATGTCGCGCAAAGGAGGCTAAATTGTCACACTGTTGTCTATATGCAAGGAAAAAAGGGAAGAATATTCGATTTGTACGAAGCAAGAGAAGAACCCTTCGAGGATTTCCGGAACGATTCACATCGATCATGTATCATCGATTGTTGTAATTTTATTGGGGGTGCGAATGTTTCATGGAAGGATGCGCAGAAGGCGACTCTGCTCTTACAACCGGATTTCAGTTCCATATCTTTTATACCGATATCTCGGTGCGAAACCACGCACCGCTCACCACGTAATAATAGCAAATACATCTCGAGGACAACTGGTTTTAAGTTTCGAATCGAACAGGACGACGCAAGTAACGCAGTTCACGAGCGCAATAGTAAATCGAGAGGACCGCACAGCGTCTTCTCGCCTACGTACACTTATAGCCTTCGTATAGAGCACATCCACGTGGAAACGACAGATCGACACCCGACATTGAAACGATCGAGAATCGAAGGATAACGAAGAAACTCGACGAGAATTGCGTCGAGATTGCTTCGACGTGTCAATTAGGGGTAGAGAGAGAAAAAAAAAAGAAGGAGAAACGACGAAGAGAAAAAAGAAAAAAATAGCAGAAAACTAAAAATCAACGGAATTCGATGAAACGTAGTTAAAAATTGATAGAATTCAGAAACAGAGGTTGGAAATCCTCCACAGCGCGATCACGTATCGTCCAATGAAGTATAAAAGAAAGCGAGGCCTAGAAAGGAAACATTTCGTGAGAAACACCTCCAAGCCCTCTGCCTCTGTTTTTTAGAGCACGCGTGCCACGCGACGTCCATCGAGAAGAAGAATCGTGTGTCTACGATCGCGTGTGCTTTCGTTTCGAACGAAACGAAAGCCATTCGGTTCCTCTCGATCGACGTCTCCGTCAATAGGATTGTTGTGTTTAAGTTTTTCTAGCAAGTAACTTCTCTTAGTGCTGGACGATCGTGCGTAATCTTAACTACGCGCGCAATCTTCGACCACGCGAACACGAGTTTCGATGTCTCTGGAGAGGAGAAAGGGCAAAGACAAAGAAATTTCCGTTCGAATGGCATACAAGATGGCACGCGACGAGTGGATTCGTCGATCGTCTCGATTCTTTGTACATTTACCAGTATGTTACCTCTTTAACGATCGAACGATGTGTTTTTTCTTATTGACGACGTTTTTTATTGCTAATTCTTGTAAGTCATATTCGCAGGCGGCCGTCGTACGCTCAATTTTTACACCGGTTCGCGAGAGAAACACGGACCTGATCGCGACCACGAGCCCGCAGTTATGTAGGTGATAAAATAGTTACGTTCTGCTGTTTACCTCGATTGATTATTTCGACTGTTGACTCGTTAAACCGATACAGAGGCGAGGTCTCGATCGCGATCATCGGTCCGAAAGGGATTCGATCGTTCGAACCGGAATCGGGCAACGACGACCGCGAACCGGTCACCGTTTGGACGAAATCCGCGTACGCGCGGATCCCAGTCCATCGCGGATGTTATTTGTGATTGAATTTTGAACCGTTATCAGAGGGTGATACGGACAGTTTTTGGGGATGAAGCGAAACAAGTCCAGGGACCTCTAGGAGCCGCGCTATAGGTTACTCGTGGAACCGTCTTGCGAACGCATCGATCGTTCACAGCCAATTTCGCGATTTCGTTTCAGATTGACTCTCGCGCGGCGCGTCGTCAGGCGCCAGCCAATGATCGTTTCGATTGATCCGACGTAGACCGGCGACGGTTTCAGTCACGGTAACGATACTTGATCACGGTGAATTCTAACGTAACGTGCGGTCGCTTTGCAGACGTGCGGCCTGGGAACGCGAGGCCCCGTCTCTTCGCGTTCCGCGGTTCTCTCTATTCGATCCAATGTAACGTGAACTTGATTTTAGACCGATCGAAGGGTTCCTGTCGGTTCTATGTGCTTCCGCACTAGTGAGCAATGTTTCCCTCTCCGACGAAATTTCGCAAAGTTCAGAGAATGATAGAGGAACACGTAACACACGTACACATACACACACACATGCGCGCGAGCGGTACACACGCTCGAGCTGCTACACGCGAGATTACACGCAGACTCTTCTCGTTATGATTCCCGTGCTTGAAGTCCATGTCAGAATGGCCTGTCTTGACTATTCGGCGAAGACCACGTCGGACGATCGACACCACCTCTCTCTTTGTCGAAAAAAATAAAAAAAAAAAGAAAAAACAAGAAAAAGAAAAAAATCGCAGGCAATCGACGGTAATCGCGGAACAAAGGGCGAATCGTCAACTCAGACTTGAGTTTCAACCTGATCGAAGATCGAACGGGGACAACAATCGTTTTTTTCTTAAGGTTCCTCGCGATCGTCGTCGATACTCCGACTGATCGCGTCAGACTATCTAAATCAAACAGGTTTTACTTCCCGCTTCAGATCGAACGCTCCGACGAGACGTATAGTTTGCCGATGTTATGATCGATTTGGTACGTCGTACCGGTTCAATGGTTTCGCACAGCCACCGGTCGGTCTTCGATCGTTAGATCGTTTCGATTCGAATTATCCACGAAGCCTCCATAGCGGCGAGACGCTCCTCAATCCGAGGACGGCTGACTTAATAATATCCCCCGGACGTAAACGGTTTTTCGTTTCGAAAACGCGTAGATCACACCGATCGACGGCGCGTTCATCGTCTTCGCGCGGATCGCGGATCCACGGCCGTACCACATGTGACTTGAAGCACAAACCACCCTAGAGAGAGTTTGAGTTTAGCCTTGGGCAAGGTCAGGCGAGCGTCGGGCCGGCTCTCAATTTTGAAATAGCCATTTCGACGAAAAGCGAAAAAAGTGAACAGACCCCCAAAACCCGACGCAATAGAGGAAGGCAACCGGATCAAAATAACCGCCACACGAATCAACAGTT